AGTAGTTTTTGGATGGTAGCGGCGGTCACGTAGGTTGTTACGAATCAACTGTAGCAAACATCTCATTAGTATGGGGTGCGTGCACGCAGCCGCTAGCTCCGCGATCGATTGTCGATATCGACTAGCTATTTTTAATTTTATTATCCAGGATGTTACATGAGTTGTGGCAAACTATTAAGTAATCTGTGGTAGTGGTGACGAGTTGTCAGATAATCGGACACTTATTTACCTACGCTTTTGTTGTTTAATATGGAACGCGCTTTTTTGTCGAAAAAGTCCCGTGATACCGGGGTTGCCGAAATTTTTAAGTATAAAATATATAAATATATATGTATATAATAAAATAAATTTAATAGTTCGTCTCGGGAAGTATTGACACCATACTTATTTCTGCCGCTAAGCCGTAATGTGTGCATTACTGCGTTTCAGTTTTGAGGGGTAAGGGTGCTGGTGAAATTATAGGCAAATGGGACTTTCACCTAATGTCTCAGGGTGGCGCGCGTGGTGCTAGTCCTCAGATCTTTGTGATATGCGTGTCATTTACTGTCAGGAGCACGACTAGTTCGACCCATTACTTGCTAACATAGAAAAAAGTTTTAAAATGTAATTTGTAATTTCATATAACATTTAAATTAACTTTTATCATTTATAGACAGCGAAATATGTAGAAATTTTGGACATAAAAAAAATTGTAGTTTTAATAATTTTCTACCGAAACTATAGCATATAATATCGTGTGAGTTTGAATTTTAAACTTCTAGCTGTTCACAGTACTGAGATCCCGTTGTCATATTCCTGGTCGTCATTAGACCTTCAGGAGTTATAGAGAGCCGAAGTATGTATGTATGTTTTAAATATAAAAATCATAACATGTCATGCCAACTCGGGGTATAAAAGAAGAAAAAAAAATATTTTAAGAACTCGCTTTCATATTCGACATCTATTCACGGTAAATTGTGAACTTTAGCCGAATACTCGACTACTAGTAACTTGTGCGTGTTAAAAAAAACTGCGATTTTTTCCAATGTTTTTTTACGTAATATTAAAATTTATTACTTTGTGCTATTTTCAGGTTTATTGAAAACTTTTTTGACTGATTTCAAAAGGTTCTCAATTCGAAAGTATATTTTTGTCTGTGTTAAATGATTACTCTGACATTTATGTAGCCACTTCGATGATTCTTTTTTTTGTTGGAAATAAAAATCAGATGGAGTCAAATTTCAAATTTGAAGAAAATATTCCAACTATACCCGGAATTGAACCCGGAAGTTGCTCGCCTAGCGCCCACACCGAGATCGTCAATCGGTAGTGCGTTTTGGAAGTGATTTGGCGCATGGGGTGTATACGTGTACGTAATGGACCTCGTGTTTCATCTTTGTAAAACAACAAATAAAGCTTCGTACATTCACAGCTTCACTATGCACATTTTACTTTATCATCGGAATGAGCCCAGCGAACGAGCGTATTTATATTAGTCTGCTATTTTAATAACCACCCATGTTAAAGGTGTGGAGTAAGCTGTACAAAAAAGCAGCAGCAGGAAGCCTGAGTGGAAAATGCCCCGCGGGGAGGAGGTGCATTTCCTAATTGGCCACCATTTTGAAATTCGTCGATATTGAACGTGATCACGGGTTTAGTACAGGTTTACGGTGGACGAGCTGATTTACGAATCCAGTGTACGGAGACCGAGTGAAGCTGCCAAACCGACGGCAAGAACATTCTTTGCCTTGTTAAGGGTTGTCAATTGCTTTATTCTGCATAAATGAACACTTTAACAACATTGTCACTTACTTTCAAACTTGTAGCACTTCCACAGTTCCATTACTTCCATCAAACGTAGCATTATTCAATGTTATGATCGACCACAGTTACGACAGATGTTCGTTTTAATGCTATATCAGAAAGCTATATGAATTATTAAATTTAATGTTAGATTGGACAAAGGGTAAAGTGCATTGGCAGCACTAGAGAGAGTAATCGATTGACCTGAGAGGGGGACCTAGAGTCGGTAGGGGATGTAGGTAGTGTACCCGGGGGAGGGGACTTACCCTCAGGAGAGGATAGGGATGTGTCCCCTCCCCCGTACCCGGAGGGGAGGGGTGCATATGTGGACAATTTTAATACTAACACGTTTCAAGTAATTTTGTAACGTTGAATATTAATTAGTGCAACAATTCTTACGACACAGTGTCATTGTTAAAAGCAAGAGGTTTGTCGATTCCTTTAAATGCAATAGTAAAAAAAGTGAATGGCATTTAAAGTGATAATAAGACAATATAAAGCATAATCAATTCGAATTGAACAAAATTTATGGCAACGATCACAATAAAACGCAATAAGGGACTAGAAGACCTGATGTTCTAGAGGGGCGCGTGGATGCATCATGTACTGGATGTCTACGAATGCAGTGAGAGGGGACCGGGGGAAGCTGCAGGAAACGCAAAGCGCAAACGCGGCAAGGGAATTTACCCCTTACCCCGCAGGGAGGGGTTGCATGTCTGGAAAATTTTGAACCGACTATTTTGGTGCCATTGGTTTTGCACCATTTTTTGTCAGATTCACAATGGCAAATATATTGTTTATGTAACGATTGTCACTTGATTTAATCTGCAATAAAACACTATTTTGTTCTGCACCAAATGAACACTACAAAACTTCGTCATTTATTTTCGAATTTATGGCAATTCTATCATTTCACCAGTTGTATTAGATCAAAATCTAATACAACGTTAGTCAATGTTATCACCGACCGGTCCTAAAGGTTCGTTTTCATTTGTCCACGTGAATTATAAAACTATTGAAATTTGAAGCAAAAAATAAAAATGATCAGCGTTGTTTTAAAAAGGCACTGATCGATTTTAGTGGGGGCCTAAAAGACTATGGGATGCACGCAGACGCTGGATCTCCGCGAGTGCAGTGTGAAGGGGCAGGGGGAAGCTAGGAAACGTTGAGCGCTGACGCAGTAAGCGAATTTACCCCTTACCCCGAGAGGAGGGGTTGCATATCTAGAAAATTCAGAACCGCCTATTTTGGCGCCATTTGTATTTTAACATTTGAAAAAACTAAGTACATTTACGATTGCAAGTGAATTTTGCATTAAACGATTGTCACTTGCTTTATTTTGCACTAAATGGACAATTTCAAAATTTCATTTTGGAAGTAAGTTCAAACTTGTTGCATTTCACAGGTTTAATATAATGGAGCGTTACTCAATGTTACCATCGACCAGTTCTAGAGGCTCGTTCTCCTTTGTCTATGACAATTATAATTTTTAAAGTTGAAGGGACAAGGTATATATCGGCGGCGTTTAAAAATATACTGATCAATCATAGAGGGGGACCTAAAAAGGGCAGGGGTGCAGGATGCACGCAGAAGCAGTATGTCCGCGAATGCAATGTGAGGGGACCGGGGGAAGCTGCAAGAAACGCAAAGCGCAGACGCGGCAAGGCAATTTACCCCTTACCCCGCGGGGAGGGGTTGCATGTAGGAAAAATTAGAACCGATTACCTTTTGTTTTGTATCGATAAAAAATTTAAATACATTCTCGATAGCAAGTACATTGCGTTACATTTAACGATTGTCACCTGATTAAATCTGCACTAAAACACTTTTTTTATTTTGCACCAACTCAACATTATAATAAATGTCATAATCATAACAATTTTGATCTATATAATGTTATTCAATGTTACCTTTGATCATTTCTGCAGGCTTGTGTTCCTCAGTTTAAATAAATTATAAAATTTTAAGTTGAAAGGATTAAGGTAAATAGTATTGGCAGCGTTTGAAACAGCACTGATCGATCATAGAGAGGAAACCTAGAATGGGTAGGGGTGCAGGACGCATCCAGACGCAGGACATATTACGCGAGTGCAGTATAAGGGGATCGGGGGAAGCTGTAAGAAACGCAAAGCGCAGACGCGGCAAGGAAACTTACTCCTCACCCCGCGGGGAGGAGGTTGCATATCTGGAAAATTCAGAACCGACTAGAGTGGTGCCCTTTGTAGTGTATCGACTGAATAGATAAATACATTCACGATGGCAAGTGCATTGCTATTTAACGATTGTCATTTGTTTTGTTTTATACTAAAACAGCTGTTTATTTTTCAGAAAATAAACACTAAATCATCTTAATTACTTTCAAAGTTGTTCAATTTCTATCACTTCGCCTACTATAATACTCAATGTTATAGCACCGGTCAGTATCTACTAAAGCTAGTTTTTGCTCTGTCTAGGTAAATTATAAAATTTAAATAGAAGGACATAGGATAAAACGCATCGGCAGCGCTTGAGAGAATCATCGATAGCGATTGGTCTGAGAGGGAGACCTAGCCCACGGAGGGGTGTGCAGGATATTGGGGGGGAGGGGACCTGCCCCTGGAGAAGAAAAGGATGTGTTTCCGCTCCCGCACCCCGCGGGGAGGGGTGCATTTCCGGAACATTTAATCAATTTACTTGTAATTATTTTGATAATACTTTTTTTGCAATAACTGAATTCTACGACGCACTGTTATTGTTAAAAATTAACATTAACTCTTTGGGGAAGTAAAAGTGAATTGCATTTAAATAAATAAAAAGATAACATAAATTATTATTAACTAACTTAATCATTTGGAATACTAAATAATTTATGACTAAAATCAAAGTTCACATCGCAATGAGGTGAGAGGAAGACCTAAAATTTTAGGGGGATGCAGGATGCACACAGACGCTGCATGTCCTTTTAGCAGGGGAGAGGGGGGTTTGAACCCTCTCCTTGCCCCTCGGGGAGGGGTTGCTTTTGCATAAAATTTCAGATGCCGCCCAAGCACACATTTAATAAAAATAACGTTAATAAGAACATTCCACAAAAATAGTTACATAAATTTTACCTATTAAAAATTAACATTTACCATAAAATCTTCTCTTGTTTCAGCTTACATCTCTCTGCATGACATTACAATGAAATGCTCTAAATTAGAACAAAGAAACTTAGGAAGTAGTTAGATAAGAAAACAAACCTGTTGAGTCGGCTTACTGCTTCAGACAAGACGGAGAAAGGTTGACGGGGTGTAACATTTAGTTTTAAGGGGACGGACATGACACAAAACTTCCAAAAAAAGTTACTATTCGCAATACGAGAAATTAAATAAGTAATCGAAGTGTATCTTCGTATGAAAGGGACCCTCTAATTTTGTCCCAATTAAGTATAATATAAAATTGTACGCCCAACACTGCTGCAAAGGCTAATGTATATACTGTGAAAGGATTAGGAACGTAATTTCTGAGTGGATACACTATTGTGTACAATACTCGAAAACAAAGCAAGAGAATATTTCTACAATGATAGTGATAACGCTCCATAATGCAGGGTTTCAAAACAAAATCTGAATGGAAATCTTTTCATTACAATCGCAAAGTTAATTTGCTATGATTGCAAAACGAAGCACTGACATTATCACTGAATTTAATGACAAAGAATATTAAACGGGACACTAATGAAATGATTTATCGTCTACCCAGGTAGACGCCCCGGATGAAACTGGGAGGGTTGAGGGTGGGAAATCTAGGCTAGGGCTAGGGTACAAATATCTCACGTCAATAATATGGAGTGCAACGCGCAGGCGGGGACTGCACCGATCATTACAGCTATACAGAAACTTCCGACGGGACATAAATCTATAGGATATACAAATAGGAGGTAGGTAGTGATAGCCCGGGCAACCTGGGATGTTCCAGAACGTTCCTTGCGTAGGACGCCGATCGTTATTTCAATGTATAGAAATAAGCAATATGTACAGTGTTCAAAGAAAGCTGTTACCCACGTAATCACGTTTAATGATTAAAGTTCAATGGAGAGGCTTCATAAAGATTGGTTCAATTTCGCCCTAAATTACCCGCAATTTGATTCTATTTTGGTTGCACAGCATTTTATGTCTTTTGAGTCATATTACGGTCTTTTATTAGGTGCCATTTCATGCGGTTTGCGTTTCAAGCGACGCTATTTAATAAATACTGCGAAAAATATTCTCAAAAGTATTTACTATCTTTGTGTAATTATTACGTTTTTTTAGCATTAGTTTTCAAAGATTAAATAAAGGTCTTCTGTCTTTATTATTCTCTAAGAAACAGGTTCTAAACAATAAACGGAAACATTTAATAAAGTAATAACATATTATAGTATCATTTGTCATCAATTCTTACGATTTTTCCCTAACTCGTTCACCTCGAGGTGCACCACAGGTGGAGCACGGACAATTGGATTATCAGAACTAGTGTACCACCGGTGGTCACGCTTGACTTTTGGTATGCTAAGAACCCATGCCGTCTTGAGAGAAAATGCTAAATTTACTAATCCCACCCTGTGCAACGGTCAAATTTCTATAGTGTACTTAATAGAAAAACTGGAATAAACATTGCAAATTATTTCTGATATAGGTATTGTATCTTATCATGCATGTATCTTATGTATCTTATTTTCATATACGAGTAACAATATTAATTGACAGGACGAACAAGTCGTGCGCCTGATGGTAAGCTACACGCCTTTCCACGCAACAGTTGCAGTGCCACTCAGAGCTTTAAATCGCAAATATCTGAGGTGCACTGCCACTGTACCCATCTTCCTAAGACATAAGTTGACAAGTCTATGTATTTGTAATTTCACCAGGGCCCTTACTCTTCAAAACCGGAACACAGTAATGCTGACATTACTGCTTAGTGGCAGAAATAGGTAAGTTGGCAGTGCCACTCTGAATGAACTCTTTCACAAGGAGCTCTACTGCTACTAAAAATTATTCTTATTGTGATTATTATTATGATTTATTTATTTGCACTGCCAAAAAAAATGACTTAAGACAACAGGTTAATTAGACGTAAAGCATAATATCCAGCTGTGTCTACTGGTGGCGCACCCCGCTAGACTACAAATTATGATCATTTTGATTCAGATCTGAGAGAAGGATGATCACTGCTTCATTGCTGTTCTAATTGTAAAAAAACGAAGTACAGGTTGTTATTATTTTTTTTTTTTTATACATGACAGGCAAATGACTCCACTCCACCTGATGTTAAGTGGAAAGTGGTATCCAAACGCGAAGGAACCTAGTGCAGCGATGAAACCCTCACTGCACTAGCCACCTCCACCCTGCCTGCCTACAATATGCCTCTTCACGCCTCGTTTGAAGGACCCCATATCATAAGAGGGAGGGAAGACATGTGCCGGAAGGGAGTTCCATTTGTCAACCGTGCGGCAGAGAAAGGAGCCACCAAACCTTTATGACAAAATCAGAAAAAATGGCGGGTTTTTGTAGTTACAATCCTTACACGAATTAATTTTTAGGTTAAAAGTATTATTACGTTTTACGTTTCATAATTATTTGTTACCTGTTTAAGCTGAAGACTCAATAGCCAATGCTCAATAAATAAATAATAGGTTAGTGATAATCACTATTATTTGGAAATTTGAAAATCGAATACGATTTGTCCAAGTAATAATGTTTAAGTGGACATGTGTAATTTTTAGACAGTACACAGTACAGTTAGTAAGCAACATTATTTGAAATTTTAAAATCGAATACGATTTGTCTACGTATCTAATAATGTTTATGTGGACATGGGTAATTAAGTAAGTAAGTATTAAGGAACATTATTTGAAAATCGAATAAGATTTGTCTACGTCATAATGTTCCAGTGAAAATGTGTAATTTTCAGACAGAAACAGCAAAAGGTATAAATAATTAAGCTACTTTTACATTGACAATTGATTATCTTTTTTATTATGATTTTTGTAATTATTGTGAACTAGTTGGTGGTCCCGGGCACTCTCAGTCTCTTCGTCTGCGTAGAATAAGTACTTCGAGTAGCCTACTGTACTGCTTATTTGAGAAATGATTGGTTTTCCATACAAACTTTTGTCCCCTATTTCACCCCCTTTAAGATTTATTTTTATAACGAAATGTAGCCTATGTCCTTCTCCAAGGTCCAATCTATATATACCAAAATTCATCGAATTCGATTCAGCGGTTTAGTTAAAACGTAATAAAATTGGTTTTACATTTATAAAATTAGTTTGGATTAGGTGAAAAAAATGTGGGCAATAGAAATTACTAAATGTTGCAATTGAATCGCTAGTGACATACCAACGGTAAAAATTTGAAATGTCGTAAGGGAGAATGACTCCAACATTTGCGGGCCGATATCAAGGAAATGCAGCAAGGTGTATACGTTGATATAGTGTTGAGATAAAATATCTTTCCGATAATTTCGCACGTAACCTCCTGAGATTCAGTGAACTACAATGTGAAACGCGTTAAACGCCCTATTGCATCAAACTGTACTACATATAATTGATACGCTTCAGGCCCTAGTTACTTACTTGGGCGTATAAGTGATCATAGAAATTATTATTGTCTGAGTCTGAATCATTTCACGTATATATTTTTACACGGGGCCTTAATAAGTTAAAATTATTATTTTTATTATTATTTTAATATTTTTTTCTTTCTGAGCCTGTTGGCTGGTTTTCATTGCACTTACGAACCAAAATTATTGTTATTATAATATGTTTTGGAAAATTTCACAACCAAATACGTGCAACAGCGCAAACTCCCGGACCTGTTGCGTATCTGACGTGGCATTTCTTAAGAACTACGCAATAATCGTTCACTCCGACTTAAGTAACTTGCTAAGTATATACACAGAAAAACATCACATAGAGTATGCTATAACCGAAATACAGAACAATAGAAAAAAATGCGAAAGTTCAAGAAGAAATAGGATATTGAAGCAGGGGTATTTTGATACGCAGTTACAAATTACGTGATGAACTCTCAAGGTCATCTTTTTGAAATTCATTTTTAAATTTTGAAAATTTCTCAATAGGCTTGTTGCCCTTGCGTGACGTTAAATAGAAAGCGTGAGGACGACACAAAAACAATACACAGATAAAAATATTTGAGATATTTTTTAACTTACGTGTAGCCTGACCAGACTGGCTATTATAATGATTAACGCCACAGCAAGGTACATGCACGCGATGTACTTATTCTTATTTAAATTCTAAATTTGTTTTATTAAATTTGATGAATTTGGAAAATGATTTTAAACACGGGATGTACTCACCAATATGTTATCACCGGTCAAATGAACGCCCGCTGGAAGGGTTTCGGGATCGATAGAGTACGCGCATGCGTAGTTCTGTGTAGACTTGTACGTACTTTTCAGGTAGTTAGGTGAAATTCGATGTTTCTAGACTCAATCTAGGCACCCTAGCCCGGCAGATTCAGGGTGGGGTGCTACATAAATATATCTATGCGATACATTAGGTAAATAAGAATGATGCGTGAACATTATTAAGTACAAAAAATAAAAACTTTTAGTTTTCAGAAATTAGTTGAACTTAACTCTAGGTACAGTGAAATATAAATTAAACATAGGTACATTACCGAATTAAATTTATAAATAATATAAAATATATATTTTATAATAAATATAAAATTTATAATTCTCTATGTTATATATAAAACATGTCGCCCCTAGTATTTTTGTGAACTTAGATACTTAGTATTCTAATCTAATAAATGTAATTAATAATATTTCACTAGATTTTGTTAAAGCGACATCTAACGCACAATAGCAAGACTACGACAAAATTTAGAGACAGCTATCATCTAAAACGCATCAGGAGTCTGTTCGTAGCAGAAGCAAAAGTTATTCAAATAAATGAACAGATGGCGTTGTATTTTAGGGAAAGGAATTGGCGGAATTGCTATTAGATGGCGTAGATAGCTTATTATTCTAGGCCAACTCATCTCCGAAGAAACTACTGGGACAGTTTATCATTGTGCTTTAATTATCCCGTACACATTTTATTAGCTCGGAAGTGCTGACCCATGCAGTAAGATACACCGGAAGGGCCTTTAACAATATAGATAGAAGTTCTTAGAATTAATATTATATCGGTAGACGTGGTAGTTAAATACTTAATACCCGAGGTCCCGGATTCGATTCCCGGGCCGGGAGAAATATTTCTATTTTCCCACATTTATTTCTCTCGCGAGTTTGGGTGTAATTTATGGCGGTCTATGTGTGTATCCATGGCACTCGCGATATAGGGTTTCCATAGTGTGGGCTATGAGTGTTTACGTTATAAATACATTATTACTTCGTAATGGTTCAGGTATTAAAATCAGGGTCTAATAGAAACTTGCAAACTCTGCCCGCATGTTACTTTATAAATTAACTTCTTACAAACCATTATTGTCGGAAGGCGTAGTAGCGCGCGCACAGTCCGGTTAAACCACATAATTTCAGTCCTTGGCTAGACTTTAACCAAACTCGAGTCTACGTCGTTATAATTTAACTTGAGGCTACTAAGTTTAAAACTTAAGTTATAGTAAAGATGTTGGAGTTTTGAATGGGAAGGAAAATTGCTTTTACAGTATATAATTACGTTGAAGAAAAGACCAAGGGATCAAAAAGTATCCTACACGTTTTATTTTAATTTGAAATCAATTAAGTATAG